AAAAAAAAAAACCCAAAATCACAAAGAATATCTCTTAGTGCTACCACACGCAGCTTGTCCAAAAAGCAACAAAACTAAACAGCATTGAGTATACATGAAGTAAAAGAGTAGAGTTTTGCCTCCAGAACATAGTAGATACTCAGTAAACATTTGTGGAATGAATGAGTCTTATTTTTAATTTAATTTGTTTTAAATGCTTATTTTTTAGGTACAGTAGGACGAATCTAAGGTTCTGAGCTTGGAATCTCATGGTATGGTTTATACAGGACTTTGGAGATAAATATGCCCTCTAACAAGCATCCTATGTCTGATGACCTCAACTATCCACTCTCACTTGGCAATTCAGAAGCAAAAACAAAAATAATGAGAAAGTCATTAAACAAAAAAAAATTGCCAACTTTACTTACTGGTGAGCCTTCCATCTTTTACAAGTATTTTTATATATGTCTACCAAAGAAGATTGGAAAGTTAGTAATGTTAGGTGACATTTACTAAGCATTCATCATATACACTATGTTAAGTACTTTCCATGAATCATCTCATGTAATTATCTTGATAACTCTAGGAAGTAAGTTCTATTCTTTGTTTTTTAAGAACCTGAGGCTCAAGACAGGTAGCAGAGCCAGATCTATTTATTCATTTTTTCATTCATTCATTCAACAAACATAAATTAAGACCTTCTATATTTCATAAACTATTCTAAATACTAGGGAATACAGTGATGAACAAGATAAAGTCCCTACCCTCAACAACATCTACTCTATGGAAGAAACAGAAAATGAACAAATATGTAATATGATATTAACGAGAAATAGAAAATGAACAAATATGTAATATGATGTTAACTAGTTATAAGTATAACAAAAATAAAATAGAGTAAGGGAACAGAAAGACATGGATGGGAAATGGGTGCCATTTTAGCTATAACTCTGCTACACTATTTCCCAAATACCAAATCAAAAGAATAGATAAGGGAGAAGATAGAAGAATTACTGATAAAATAAGTCCCAGAAAAAAAAGGCAGTAAAAAATTATAATAAGTAGACTTATAATCTCATAGAGTATAGCAGGCTGGTAACACTTAATACAGGGCTAACCCAGAAAGCAGTAACTATATTATAATATTGTATGAAAAGTGATACTCAGAAGGATTACCTTGGAGTCCTCATATACAAATGCAAAAAGTATGTTCAGTGTTAACATTCACAAAGTTATCAAAAATAGTCAATTTCTATATATTAAGGAATAAGCTTCAGTTAACTGATGAATTCACTTTTTGGAAGAGCTCATTCTCAACAGTGCAAATAAATAAAACACTGCTTTACATAAAATACTGGCAAGGGAAGGAACCTAATTTTTTTGAGTATATACCTATTACTGCACTTTAAAATATACAGTCTCAGGGCACCTGGGTGGCTCAGTCAGTTAAGCATCCGATTCTTGGTTTCAACTCAGGTTATGATTTCACGGTTTGTAGATTCAAGCTCTGCATCAGGTTCTGCACTGGCAGTACAGAGCCTGCTTGGGATTTTCTCTCTTTTCCTCTCTCTCTCCGCCCTCCCTGACTCATGCTCTCTCGAAATAAATAAACTTTAAAAAATAAAATAAAATAAAATAAAATAAAATAAAATAAAATACCCAGTCTCATTTAATCCTTACAATAACTTTTTAAGATTGGCATTATTCTCATCTTACAGATGGGAAAACAGATTTAGAAAGACTAATTTATCTCAGGTCATACTGGAAGAGCTGGGGTTCCAATCCAGGCCTCTTTGACTATAAAAATCCTTGCTTGATTTTAACACTATACCATAATGCTTCATCCTAAAACTGAAAATAGAATTATATTCCACAGATCAGCTCACTATCACTTCTAGTTCACTAAGAAAATAATTTTTCATATATTAGGTAATGATATCTTTCCAGGAAAATTCAAGGAGGTTCTTTAAATGGAAGTTACCATGAATCTAAAGGTTCAAAAGTGGTAAAGATCACCTGCTGAAGACAAGAATGTACCTCCATTCCTTCCCCAAAATGCCTCTAAGACATTATGGAGAGATTTTTTAAAAGGGGAAGAGGCACATAAACCCATAAGGTCAAAATAGAAAGAAAATAACAGCTGTGAAGTTTTGTAAACTAGAAAACAGACAAGTAGTAATCAATCAAATATACTCTCAAAGGTGGAAACTAGAGAATCCCAGAAAGATTAAGGAATAGAGAGCAGATAAGTCCTTTTTTTTTTTTAAGTATACTTTTTTTTTTTTTAAAGTATACTTCACGCCCAGTGTGGAGCCCAACCCAACGCGGGGCTTGAACTCAAGACCCTGAGATGATCAATGCCCTAGCTGAGATCGAGAGTTGAGCATTCTGAACAACTGACATGAGCCAAACCCCTTCCAGAGCACTGTCTCCAGATATCGTTCGTGCTTAATGGGGAATAAAAGTGGCACTAGAGAGAGGAAAATTAGTTGAAAATCTATTTACGCAGCATTTAGATCCACAGCCCCTATCCTCCACTCAAAAGGAGGAGGGACAGAATTTACTCTCTTGAGGGAGACTAACCAGTGGGAATACTGAATCTGGTGGGGGGAATACTGGGGTTGGGGGGGTGGAGGGGTGAGTGTGCTGCTACAAACAGAGGGGTTCGTAAAGTCTATATATACTGAATGGTGAGACTATCCAGCCCAGTCCCTCCATTTACTCCCCAAATCCTGGCAGACTGGTAACTTACTACTATAGAAAGAAAGGGAGACTGGAAAATTCTTCTCACGAGAGGAAACTGACTAGTCCATGATGAAAAATGCCCTTACTGAGAGTGATAACTGACTTGATAGAGGTAAACAGTGCGTAGTAGTGGGTTTCTCAACACAACATGGGGTAACAGCTAGCTTCAACCTACAATGAAAATCACCAGCCATGCCCCACCCTACACATACAGCTTTCTGTCTCCTAATTTTAGCACCAGATCATATACAAAGACAGAAGACAGCCAGCATTTATTTCTGAAATGAAACAGAGATCAAAACAAATAAATAAACTTACAGGTAAGAGAGAAAACATGAAATAAAACATCAAAAAAAAAACATTTTTTTTTTTTTTTTGTGAATATCATCAGAATCATCATAGAGAACTCTCATTTTATGAAAGAATAGATTATGTCTTATTTAAAATTTTTTTTTTTTTTTTTTCAAAAAAAGGAAACTACCAGAGAATAAGAGTCAAATTTTGAAATTTTTTTTTTTCAACGTTTATTTATTTTGGAAGAAGTATATGAGAGCATGACAGAGTTGAGCATGAACGGGGCAGAGAGGTGGAGACATTTGGAGAACGAGGGGCTCAGGCTCAGGCTGAGCCATCAATAAACAACATGAGACGCCTGACGCTGAAGAGGCTCAACCGCATGTTCTTGGTGCAGCAGGTATTATTTGACCATGAAGTGGTCGGACGCTTAACCGACTGTGCCACCCAGGCGCCCCAAGAGCTACTAGAAATTTAAAGTATGACCACAAAATTGACAAATCCAGAGAAGTAGTGAAGGATGACATTAAAGGATAAAGAAAATAATACTTACAGAGCATTTACTATGTGCTAGGCTCTATTCTAACAGTTTTACATTTATTATCTTGTTTACACCCCAAAACCCTATATTGTTTTCCCTATTTTTCAAATGAGAAAACTTAATTCCAGAATTTAGTTTTCCACAGTCACAAAACTAGTAAGTGGCAAAAACTGGGATTCAAACTCAGAAAGTCTAGTTCCAAAATCCAGGCTTTTATTTATTTTTTTAAAATGTTTATTCATTTTTGAGAGACAGCACAAGTGGGGAAGGGGCAGAGACAGAGGGGGACAGAGGATCCGAAGCAGGCTCTGCATTGACAGCAGTGAGCCCAACACAGGGCTTGAATTCATGAACTGTGAGAGATCGCCTAAGCGAAGTTAGACGGCTCAACCTTCAGGCCACCAGTGCCCCCCAAATCCAGGACTTTTTAAATAGTATATTATAGCAGGGAAAAAAAAAAAAAAAAAAAAAAAATGGAAAATGGGAATGAGAAAAGATAGGAAAGCTAAAGGATCAATCCAGGCAGTTTCAACATCCTGAATAGTTGATCCACAAAGAGAGAACATAGAAAAACCTAGGAAATAATTCAAGAAATTTCCCAGAACTGAAGGACATGAGTATCTAGAGTGAAAGCGACCACTGAATGTGCAACCCAATGGATAAAATAAAGACTCACACTGAGGAAAATTACCTTGAAATTTCAGAACTCTGAAAGTTACCAAGAGTTTTCAAAGAGAAAAAGAGGATATTAGAATGGCATTGGGGCTTCTCAAAAACAGTACTGAAGCCAACAGCCAATGGAGCAATATCTTCAAAATTCTCAGGAAAAATTACCTCCAGCCTAAAAAATGCTTTAAGCGATCAAGAAAGTGGGAGAGTAAAATAAAGAACTTTTCAGTCCACCAATGCAAGGTCTCAAAAAATTTACCTTCCATCCACCCATATACCAAGAAGCTACCAGAGGATGTTCCAGCAAATGCATAAATAAACGAAGGAGGAAGATCAGAATGATGGTGAAGGGGAATCCCAGGTGTGCAACAAGCCTAAGGTGCCGTCAGCATCCAGGTCAGTGTGGAAAGTGAGAGGGTTCTAGTAACATTAAAACTGAGAATTCTGATGATCTGAACATACTGAGAAGAGTTTAGGAAAGAACTAATCTTAGCATACAAAGAATAAAAAAACAAAGCAACAATAATCACGTAATCATATCCTTCCCTTCTTCTATGAAACACCCAATTCTGACAACTTTGTTACTCTGGCAAAGAAAAAACTGAGTTCCTAATGGTAAAATTATCCAAACACAGGTTAAAAAATCTTATATTTTAATTTTCTCCATATGGCATTATAATAATAAAATAAAACAAAAGACTTAGAAGTATGAGAGCTGCTGTGTCATATTAGACAAGTCATTTGACATCGCTGAGCCTCATCTACAAAAAGTGAAATAATAATGCCTATCCCAAAGTTTTCTGTGCAGAATTAAAGTAAGAGACCTGAACATTCCCAGCATAATGCCAAGCACATAGTAAGCACTCAGAACATGTTTGTTAAATCTGAATCATACTGCCTGAAAGAGATGGAAACAGCAATTGGCAGACAGACACTCCCTCCCCCACATACCTTCTGTGTTGTTGTGTTGGTCGTCTGTGTTGATGGTTTGGTGAAGGTTATTTTCACAGGAGACATGTGGGGCGGTAAGGAGTTGGCAATGCTCTGCATGATGTTGCTCATCTTGGGACTGCCACTCACAGGCACAGTGATCGTCTTTGAGACCGGAACAACAGCCTTTGGAACTTCCTTTAGGACAACGGGGGACGAGCTAGAAGAATTTGTTCGCCTTCGTTTTCTGGGTTTTTCATCTTCATCTGAACAGCTAACACCTGAAAGGCAATGAAAATTTTGATTTTTAGATCACAATCTAACCTCGCATTTTATACTTCATTTTAAATCTCTGTGTCATCAGTCATCCTTGACTTCTCCCTCTGCCTCATGCCCAAACAGTAAGTCCTATCAATCTTCCCTCAGAAGTTTTCTCTGAATGCCTTTCCTCCTTTCTTTAACCCTGTGGCTCTATCAGGCCTTCTTATCTCCTGCCTATATTTTAGCAAGCTCCTAAACAGTGTCCTTGCTTCCAATCACTCCACTTCTACCCTCCATCCTACTGCCAGTTATAGAATCTCACATCTAATTGTGCCAATGCCTTACCTTAAATCCTTAAGTAGTTTTTATCTCCCTACAAGATGAGGCACTTAAATCATCACTACATCATTCAAGGTTCTGTATCTTTCTAAGAACACAATACAGTTGACCTTCAAACACAGGTTTGAACTGTGCAGATCCACTAATATGTGGACTTTTTTTCAGTAAATACAATAATAGTACTGTAAATTTTTCTCTTTTCCTCCATAACATTTTCTCAGTAACATTTTCTTTGTCCAACTTACTATATTGTAAGAAAACTATAATACATATACAAAATACATGCTAGTTGACTGTTTATGTTATCAGTAAGACTTCTGGCCCACGATAAACTATTAGTAGTTAAGTTTTTGGGAAGTCAAGTTACATGCAGACTCTCAACTGCACAGGGAGTCAGTGCCCCTAAGCCCCACACTGTCTAAGGGTCAACTACACCCTGTTCCACCCAACCCTGTGCCCTCCTATAATCCTCCTATAATCCTCATACACCAAACTGCTCATCATTCCCCAAAGCCACCTTACCACATTCTATCCATTTAGAGTCTCTATATATTATTGGTCTACTATTATACCACCTACCATCAATGACCTCTTCATCATCCTACAATTATCATCCTGCAAACCATCTCCTCAGTGAAGCTTTCTTTCCCTTACTCCTCTAAGTAAAGCTAATCCACATCCTTCTGTTTCACTTACCCCATGGCAATGTGGCCAATCAGCCTGCACATCTCCCCTTATTAAGGGGCTTCCAGAGGGCAATGACTAAGACTTATTGGTTTGTTTCCCTAGTACACTGCCTTGCACATATGAAGATAGATTAATGAATAATTCTATCTCAAACTAATGTTGTTTGTGTGACTTCTCAAAATAAAGCAATAAACTTCCTATTATTTGAAACTGTATATTATGTGAAAAGGTTTCTTCGTGTTTGAGATTCACTTTCAGGTTTTTTTTAATGTTTAATTATTTATTTTTAAGAGAGAGAAAGAGAGAGCACGTGAACACATGAGTGGTGGACGGGCAGAGGGGCAGAGATCTATAAGATCATGACCTGAGCTGAAGTCGGAGGCTTACCCAACTGAGCCAGCCAGGAGCCCCCCACTTTCCATGTTTTAAAAAATGATCAAAAAACAGCTCTTGGGTCACCTGGCTGGCTCAGTCAGAAGAGCATGTGACTCTTGATCTCAGGGTCATGAGTTCGAGCCCCACGTTGGGTGTAGAGAATATCAAAAATAAATAAACTTAAAAAAAAGAATAATTAAAAAAAATAGATCTCTTACAGTCACCTTGGCTAAATCTGCAGAAATCAGATATAACCTTAATAGTTTCAGATTTTTAGCTTTTTCTTTACGAACTAAAGTCTCAACTGTTTTTGTAGACTTTTTAAAAAAATTAAGTGAGATAACCTTAATAGTTTCAGATTTTGGCTTTTTCTTTAATGAACTAAAGACTCAACTGTTTTTGTAGACTTTTAAAAAAAAATTAAGTGAGAAATGTAAAACCTTGCAACATACATAGGAAATCTCTAGAGAGCAGACATAAAAAAAAAAAGTGTACAGCATGACTCATGGAATTGGTAATAAAACAGAACTCACACCTTCAATTTTTAGACTTTAATTTAAACAAGGTTGACAATGACCTAAAATCATTCCTAAAACAGCAAACTCTACATCTAAAAGTTACAAAGAAATCAAGTTTATAACTATGTTGAGAAAAATGAAAATCAAATATTAATAATCTCCAGTTGATAAAACAAATACAAAAATAAATAACAGGCATTAAAACCAAAAAATGACCTGGTCATTAAACTGCTCCACAGAATAGAACCGAAAGGTTAAAAACTGCAAATAAACTTCAAAAACTTATAGTTAACTAGAAATATAAAAGATGGGCTCTCTAGAATGTATCACTGAATCTAACAGTTGGATGATATGTTATATAAACAATTTTTAAAACAACATTACAAAGATTACAATTATAGGAGTAAACACTGAATAAATCACCTAAGTACATTTTGTCAGTTTCCATTCCCATTTCTATTCCATGACAATCAAAAACAAGTGAATTCTTGAAAGACAGTTCAAGGCAGATTTCCCACAGAGAACAAAAAAGAAGTAATTTCTCAACCCCCAGAACTGATTAAAAAGCAATAAATACTAGTCACGTGTAAAGAAAGGAATTCTTTAGAACCTTCAAAAACTAACCACTGCTAATAGCCAGTGGACCGATGATTTAATCCAGGAAGGAAGATCTAATCAGAGCCTATGTTGCAGCATTTAGCCAAGATGGCCCTGATAACACTGAGAATATCACTTACTTTTGACATAAACAGTACTTCCACTTGGCAAGACAACTACATTGGAGGCAGGACTGGCAGGTCTTGGAGACTTAACCGTTGCTATGCTGCCACTTGGAACAGGGGTAGAGGTTGGGGTTGACGTGGTACTTGTGTAGGAATAGCAAACCACTACTGAAGAACGATAAAAAAGTTTGCTGTTAACTTTCACCAAAACTGTCCACGCATATACAGAAAAATTATTTTTTTACTGCAGGCCAATTTTAACATTTTCATGTGATCAGAAGTTAGAGGCCATTAGGTCCATTAAATTAAAAGGTATAATAACCTTTCCTGAAAATCATCATTTCACTGGGTTTTCCTCAAGTATTTAATAGCTGTCTACAGGTGACATTGCCAATGGAGAAGAGCACAGTTACAAAGAAATCAAGTTTAAAACTATACTGAGAAAAATAAAAATAATTTTTTATTCATGGAAGGAGTTAGACAAAAGGCAAATACTTGTATTCCCTTTTAATAGTGATAGCAGCACCAATGATGGAGTGATGGATAATTTTTCCCTAACCATAGCAATTTCCAACTTGGCTACTGGGGGGAACCACGGCAAGATTACTTTATTGTAAAACAACTTACTAGTCCCTTGCCATTGAAGCAGTGCAACACTAACTCAATAATGACATCATATGTCAATTTCTTGAAAAACAACAACAAGCAAGAATAGTTCATAGGCACCATTTACTGAGTTCCATGCACTATGCTAAATCCTTTCCATATATTATCACTAATTCTCACAACACATGCTCATTTTAAAGATGAGAAACCTTAAGGTTCACAGAGTTGCTGGACATCACACAACTAGGAAATGGCTAACTAGGACTCCAACACAGATGTGACTACTGGAAATCCTATATTCTTTTCACTCTACCACAAAGTAGGTGGATAGAAAAAGTAAAAGTGGGAAGAAAAGAAAGATACCTCTCCTACAACAAAGGAAACAAACTCAACACAGGCCCAGGTTGCATATTAATACCTGTCTCTCTCTAAATACAGCTTCCTTCAGCCTAAAACAGAGCCTGGCATGCATGAAGAGTGTCTTATCCACTCCAAAACCCACTGCCAGTCAAGAAAAGACAATTCCCCAAAGTAATCTGACAACTGCATATTCAGGGTTATTTTCAAGCAACACACAACTAAGCTACTAGAATCAATATGCACTCTTGAATTTAATATTACTCTTGGTGACTTCAAGAGAATTCAAGAATTTTTACAGCATGTGCCAATTACTAGATTAAGTAACAATGAGAAAGCCTTCTCCATCTGCCAGGCAATCCCTAAAGGATTTAGAACCCTTGACTAGAACTGAGAAGCACCATATAGCATTGATTCCCGAAGATAAAAAACAGAGTTTTATTTTCGAAGTAATCAGTTAGGCATCTTTCTCCAGCAGGTAAATGACTTCTATCATTTATTTTCCATGTCACCCATCAAGCTCTTTTATCCACTTCTAACAAGACACACTGATATCAAGAATTCATTCCAAGAAGGCTTTTTGCAATTTTGTTATTAATATAATTCACATTTTGAACAAACAAGAGATTTTTTTTGGCTGAGACTAAAAACTTGGCAGTTTCTAGTTTCAGAATAAGAGTTGCTCACTATGTTTTTCAAGCTTCATACAGTGGGATTAAAAACAGATGAAAATCAAGACAACTGTTCTTGAAGAATCTGAGAAAAGTCTTCTTTACACACAGAAATAGTTTTCTACTCACCTTCCTTGCTTCCTGTTTCTGCAGGCACTGGAAGAGATGCATTGTGCTGGATAGCTGCATTGGCAACAGCATTAGCTGTTACAGTGAAGGCGGTTTGGGGAACCAACCGGGGCATCAGTGGGACCAATCGACGACCTTCAATGGACCATTCTGAAGAGCTATTAGGTCCAGACATACTAAACAAAAAAGAAAACGCTGCTACAAGGGTTCTCAATCACTAAAAATGAATCAACTATTTTCTCAAGCAAATATAAGTTTTGAAATTATCAAAAGTATCCTGAGTGAATAGGAGAGGCTTAACTTTAAGCAAGCAAAATCAAAATTATGGATAATTATCAGAATTCAAGGGATTTCACATACACTTAAGTTTTTACACATTTTATTCTATTATCTGAATCTTAGAATGAACACAAATGAAACTATGAAAATTTTTCCTATGCCTTCTAAATACTGACATCATTTTCATTAGTTTAAATCTGGTATTGCTAACGAAAACTAGTGTATCTACTAACTTTTAGAACTTAATTTTGTAATTCAACTAAAAAGGTAAAACGTACTAATTTATTTTTAAAATCAGATTTTCCTTAACAATTAAGGATAGAATTCACTGAACCTTTGCAAAATTATCTAACTGCCTGCATGGCCAGAGGTTCTAAGGCTTTCAAACAAGGGAAACTGAGGCAGTAAACGAGGGAGACCAAGTATGGAGGGATAGAAAAGGACTATGTGCATATATACATATATACATAGATATATAGATACATATCTATATATCTATATCTATATATATATATATATCACTGCATGTATCACTGACAATGTGTTATATTAGTATGCTTCCTGTTAAAAAACAGACTAGATCTGAGGTTACTGGAAGAAACCTGTCACTATTTTAATTTTACTTATACCACTCTTCACTCTAAGAAGTATTTGAGGCCATTGAACTATACCCCTAAGCAGACACTATTCTGTTTCTCCACTCTAAACTTCTTGAGCAAATTTTATCCCAGGAACCCAATTTAAATATGGTTGAAATACGAAAGGACAGTTGTGTCACTTCTCTTGATTTGACTCCACAAAAAGTAGTTGTGTCACCTCTCCTAGTGATGAGTGTCAAGGTTTAAAATTCACCCAGAATCAATTAATCAATCTCTTTACTAAGTCAGAAATATTTCTGCACCTCTTCCAAACCAAGGATTCTATAACCCAATCTAGGGCTTAAGAGTCTGAATGTCCACTGATTCTTCACATTTAGACAGCATACACAAAAGCCCATAATGGGATGATGATGATGATGATGATGATGATGGTGGTGGTGGTAGTGGTGGTAGTTAACATCAACTAAGCACTTACTCTATGTCAGGCATTGCTTTAAACATTTTCTATGCATTAACTCATATAATTCTCTCAATAAATTGGCAATTATTATCTCCATTTTGTGGATGGGGAAATTGAGTCACTGAGAGGTTAAATAACTTCCCTAAGGTCACAGCCACTAAACGTTTCCTTCAACAAGCATACATCACACTACTGATATTACTTGCCATACAACAAGTAGAAGGTACACAATTTTTCAAAAGGGTTTTATGCCTAACATTTGCTTTGACTTATACTAATCGAGCACTGTTGTCTAATTACTACCAACCTTCACCAAATGGAACAAATAAATTACAACTTGAGAAAGATTTACATTCAGTTCAGAAAGGAATCTCTAGTAGTTGATGAATCTAGTTGGGTTACTACTACAAGAAATCTGCAAGTTGTTTAACATAATCCTACCTAATAAAACAAGGGAAAGAGGAATTCCTAAGATCCCAATTAACTCCACAAATTTGTTATATAATGCAATTTACTGTTTGCATAATCTCCAATTTGACAGTAGTTCTGAAACAGAGAATGGTATAAATAAGAGAAACCGAAATGGGCGACACTGACTGTCAAAGGAAAAATTCTAAGAACTATTTAGCATTTTCTTGGCTTACTCCTCTTTTGGTATCGTTTTATTAGAATATCACCAGTAAATTTGCTTGGTGAGTTTACACACAAATAATGTCTACACTTACCTGGTGCATTGTTTAAATGGTGGCAGAAATTTGGAAGATTAGTAATTTGAAACACATGAATATTTGCTATTGAAAAGACAGATTTGCAGTGCAAAAGATACAACTGCAATTTTTTTAAAAACCTAGAAATCTTCCAAATTTCTACTCATGCCATCACGCTCAAACTTTTTTTTAAGTGAGTGAAAAATTATGTTAGAATTAGATTAAAAATTCCTATTTGCTTAGTAATGAGGGTGTGAATATGCATTAGTTGCACAAATCATTTAAACTGAATTTTACAGATTTTTGTAAAACTCTCACTCCAGGACTTCCCTGGAATTCCTAAGTTTCAACGTAAGGATCACTTCTCTATTTATATTAAGTATGGCAAGGGAGGGTAGAAACCTTGCTCTAGCTCCTTTCCTGAGAAATCTAACATGATACTAATGAAACTATCTTGGCCTTCACATCCTGTGGTGTGTAGGGCACCAACAAAAACTCCTTACTCTCATATAGAAATTCACAAAGTATCCTATGAATGTTTTTGGCTTATGGGGAAGGAGTTTAAGAGAACAGTAATTCCAGACAGCCACTTTTTTCCAACACTAGAGACAATGCTGGCAAGAATGGTGCAATTAAAAATTTTGGAGCCCCTTGACACTCCAGGCTTTGCTATTATAACATTCTGACATGTTTCAAAACTGGATTAGAGTACCAAAGTTAATAAATGATACGGTGCCAAATAATAAACGCGTGTTATACTTGGAGCCATAAGCAAGGCTTTTCTTTGATCCCAGACACCCTGCTCCTTTTGTTTCCACTTCCTTTGTGCTCAGTCTTCTCGGCTTTCTCTTCACCTTTCAACCACATTCCTTCTGGCCTAAGCTGCTGTTTGGAGTGGGGGAGGGACGGGAGAGGAGAAAGGGAATGCAGTCAGTTCAGATGCATCCCTCTTGGGCTCCAGTTGCTTTTTTCAGGCTCAGGGTATGAAGACTTCCTATAAATAATCTTTGGATCTAGGTTCTGGTGCTACTTCTGAGGGAAAGAGGGCAGAGGAGATGTCGAGAATAAGGAATCTATGCCTTCCTCACCAATCCACACTCCCTGACCCTTGGGTTCAACAAGTAAAATACGACACCTAGTCAAACTAAAACCATGGCATAAAACATTAAAACAGGAGTATGGAAAGACCTAAGAAGCTTAAAATTATACGCTGAAGGAAACTCTTCAGAAAATTAAATTCATGTATTAAAGAAATCAGAAAGGAGAGAAAAAAAGGAAACAGGCAGATAAAAGCCAACTCTCAATTATCCATGCTAATAGAGAGAGGAGGGAAAGGGAGAGGTCAAACAGATTAAAGAAATCCACATATTATCCAAAAATACTTTGGCATACTTGTAAATTCCTCCACCAAACCATTTTCAGGATAACTAACAAGTAGTAAAATGACTAATTACAATTTTCACCTCCTCTCCCTTCCCACCCTCTGGCTAGAGGTACTCCCAAGCAGCAAAATGGCTAAAAGGTGGGCAGTATTAGGAGGGGGAGGAAGGGAAGAGAAGGGAAAGCAGAGGGCACGGTTAATTCGTAAATGGGAACATGTGCCCGTGAATAATTGAGAGCTTCAATTTTGAAATAAATACAAGAAAAAGCCTGAAATAATAATAACCTATTTGCATACCTGTAACTTGGTCTTTCACCCAAATATAAGGATAAATTCATTCTTTAAAGGGGAAAAAAGGAAAAGGAGACTAAATAAATGTTATCCTTTAAGTATGAAACTGATGCATCAACTTACAACTAATTGTCCCACAATACTGTTCCAATGCTTTTAAAGTACTAGCTTTGCCTCTAAGTGCCTCTGAATGTAAGCGATTGTTTACTACTTTATTATCTAGCACATAAGCATCCTATTACCTTCTCAAACTAGAATCTAGGCTCAGTTATTATTTTGAGAGCATCCCAATTCAAAAGTTTAGAGCAAATTAAAGAAGGAACACATTAATATTTGAATGTTTCAACCATGTTGGCCTGACAACCAAATACTTAACGTCTATAGTGGAAAAATTCCAAACTTCTACAGTGCATACATACCTACCACTGAAAAATCTCAAAATTCAAATACCTAATCCTTCAAACTACACAGTTAAAAAGGTAGCACCCCATTTTATAAGTTAAATAAAATGAGGAACAGTAAAGCACAACATGAAGCTAATGGATCTACAGGGCCAATTCAAATACTGCCAATTGGTTTAAACATACCATTTATCACATTATGGAAATGCACTGAATTTTTTTCCTTTAGTTTTATTTCACATTAAGACATAAAAATAAAAAACAAATGAGTTATACTCTAATGTATCTTATTTTATGAAATGTTCCTGTCATCCTGCATAAACATTTAAAGGATAATTTCTGCTCCTCTCTATTCTGTAGGAGGCACTGTCTCCATAGGCACTCTCCTAATGTTTGATCCCTGCCCTTCGTCCTCTACCACCCTCCACCCCATCTATCAAATAGTTATAATGATCTGAAAACAATTTTGTTAAGAATTGTTTATAACTTTATTTTGTTGGCTTTTTAACGTAAACTAAGTAAGATACATTCATAATTCTTAAAAAATGCAGAACATAAATTTTTACAATCTTTTTTCTGAATCTCAAAATACATGAAATATTAGTCAGTTATAAAAAAATTTATAATGCCTATTTACAAAGCAATATACATACCAAATACCATTACAAAGAACCTCTAAGGGGCTGCTGAATTAGGGGAGCATACTACTTTATTATTGAACTTTGCTTCAAGTTAAGTGAATCATCTGCTGAACTGTGGTGGCCTTTAGTTATGCAGAGATTACACCGTAGTGGGATTTGACCTCAGTACTTAAAGCTTGCCTGACCAAATGCAAAAACATAACCAAGTGAATAAACAGGTAACACCTCTAGGGTCAGGATCCCTGAGTACAGAAATAATTACTATTAAGATAAAAGACTCAGGAATCTGCTATACAATCGGAAGACTGTTTCAAAACTATGTTATACTACGTAATAAAAAATCAGGGGTTGTATGACTAATGGCTTACTTATGTGCAATTGTTGTTAACCGTTCATCGTTTACTGCTCTCCGAACTTCAGCACGGTGGCGCTCTGTTGAGATGCTATGAAAAAAAATAGCCATTATAGAACTCTGCCAAGCAGGCAGCTCTTTTCTATACTTTTATTAATGTTCTAAGTCAACATTCTGCTTGGGGAAGAGGGGGGACAAGATTGATTTGTGAAAAGATATAGACAGGGGCCTAATATACACCTTCAGATGCTTCAATTAAAATCACAAGCAAGGGTTCATAATGATTCGGTGTAACTGCAGGATTAGTTGCAAATTAGGAATCAAAGGAAGACAAATCAGCTTGATATCAAGTCATTACTTCCAAAACTCAGAAATGTCAGACCATGTTCAAGATTAGCAGAGGTTCCTGTTATCTAAATACGCAAACAGCCACTGAATGACCCCTAATCGTGGTTACTAAGAGGATTCTGGCACTTGGAAGAAGTCTTCTTAAGTTTGTTCTAAAGCTTAAGAGTCTATAATTTTATGTTTAGTAAATATAATAAAGAAACAAAAGTGGCAGGATAAGCTATCTTTTTCCGGTGGCTATATGCTATGTTCAGTGAATATATTCAGTGAATTTTATGTTCAGTGAATATAATAAAGAAACAAAAGTGGCAGGATAAGCTATCTTTTTCCGGTGGCTATATGCTATGAAATTTGACACCAGGACATTACTCCCTTATTACTCAACACTTCACCTGTATGTCTTCTACCTCACGTTACCATTACGGTAAAAATGCGCTTATATTGACTCTGATTAAATACATGTAAGGTTAACACTAAACAAGTGAAAAAAAAGTTATCCCCATTCCATTCATAAATACTCGATAAAATGAGTATCACTCTTCAATTGTAATCTTTGCTGCTTAAACTAAATCCATAACATGGGTTAAAATATTTAAAGGGCTAGAAAGCAGATTTACGAGGAAATATAAACAAACAGAAAATATATAAATTGTTAAACATGAAGACAGTAAGATTAAGGATTTCACTTAAATTAAATTTAAATCCCTAAATTAATGGCAGCTAAATATAGGAAAAGCCTCTTCCCTATTTTCATTTAAAAAAAGAATAGGACAAAATGGTTTTATATGTAGAAAGGTAACTTCCATTAAAACAGAGTATTTTCTGAAAAAACTCAAGATGTCAGAATGGATCAAGACAAGTATCTAAGAATTCCATTCACTAGAATTTTTTTAACAAGTTTAAAGTGCCATTCTAGCAGGAAGCTAGGGGGTAAACTATCATTAGGGCTATGACTATATAAAACCACCCATTTCTCTAAATTAAGACAACTAAGAAGTCTCCTTCTTCCCTCCCAACAAATGCCACTGGGCCACTCTAGGTCTTCAGATCTTGTTGCTACCAACCCTTCTTTCCTTCACCCAGGTCAAAACTACCTCCCCTTCCCAGGTGACCCAAACCTAAAACTGTCTGCCTTAAACCCTTTCTGTTTATAGAATAAATGATAAATTACATAACTCTCTGTAACAAAGCCTCCACAACTGGATGGGATACCTAAGCACCAACAACTTGAATACCTCTGTCTTCAACTTGAGAGTAAAAAGTACTAAAACCCCTCAAAATGAAATTTCTAGAGTCATGTCTCACAAATTTTTATGATAATTTACCTAAGAACTTTTGAGAGTTCTCCAAGAAGATCTTTCTTTTCCTTGGTGAGATCCCCCTGTGCCCGAAGTGCACTGATAACTCCAGCATATGCCTCCAATTCTAGAAGAAGAAAATTATTTTATCAAGATAGGCCTTCAATATTTTAAAACTATGGCTACATATAGTGAAACTTCAGGGCAAAAAACCTAGAAATCAATAAAAAAAAATCAATATGCAAAATTTTTAAAATTCCTCTCAAAAATCCTATCTAAGAACGTAGATTAAAATGTGGCTTTTATAACGTTTGTATTTTTTTTTTTGCTGTTGTTATTATCTCACAGAAGTCACATATATAAGATGCTTAGGTAGAAAAATCCAATGGTAAATACTATCTTGCACATTATCACTGAAGAACACTTAACTCAGATACTACCAACAATTAGGAATAGGCTCCAAGTGATGTAAGGCTGATAAGATAAATTTTTAGCTTTACTGACAGGTACCTACACTGACCAATCCTTAAAACAATTCCTTAGGCCTGCCTGAAATTCAAACTACATTCTACCTCCCTCCTGGGGTTGAGAATACCATGAGCACTGTCCAGTAGAAAAACTCCTAGAACAAGAGTCAAATGACCAGATTCTGGCTCCAGCACTACCACTCACTCACTAGTTGTGTGACCTTGGACAAGTCTCTTCTCATCTCTGAACCTCAATTTCTTTATCTAGAAGAGACTCTGAAGTTATCTTCCAGATCTAAGATCCTCTGCATCTACTATCAAAATGACTAAGGCAAGTTAGGAAACATGAGTTGCTCTTATAGCAACAAGGATATAATACACTGAACCCTAATGCCAGACAGTTTCGTTTCACTATTTTTCCACAACAACATCATTATGAAATGAAACTGTCAATCTCTGACACTGGTTAGACTCTTGATATCATCTCAGGTCATGATCTCCTGGTCCTCAAGCTTTGATCTCAAGGTTGTGAGATCAAGCCTTAAACTGGGAATGGTGCCTGCTTGGGATTTTCTCTCTCTGCCCCTTCCCCTACTCTTCCTCGGTCTCTGTCTCAAAATATACAAATTTAAAAAAAAAAAAAAAA